AGAGAGACAGGCAAGCTCCAAATATACAGCAGGCGTCAGGCTCGGGATCGAACCTACGACCTCCTGTATACCAGGCGAAGTAGTTAACATCTCGCCACTGTGGCTACCCTTACATTTCCCCCCTAAAAGCGCTCTGTAGTGCTCTTAATTGTCCTCATCACATCATCCTGACCGGTTTCAGTGGCGGTCTGGCATTTGCCAGTCACTCAGACCTCCGTAGTGAGTAGAGTCACGCCCAAGCCGTGTCTAATGTATTGTCTGTCGCTCTGTGTTGCAGGCGACAGTACGAGTGTGTCCATCATACAATGGCGCGCAAAGCATATTTCCATTTAGCAGCAGCAGCAGCAGCTTAGGCAAGCTGTGAGTTACGATCAGTGGAGCTTTTGAACAAGTTACGTTGAATTCTTTGTTATCATCGTAATCAAAACAAACACAACAACAAACCAAACACGACAACAACAACCCAAACACAACAACCCAAACACAACAACAACCCAAACACAACAACAACCCAAACACAACAACAACCCAAACACAACAACAAACCAAACACAACAACCCAAACACAACAACAACCCAAACACAACAACAACCCAAACACAACAACAACCCAAACACAACAACAACCCAAACACAACAACAAACCAAACACAACAACCCAAACACAACAACAACCCAAACACAACAACAATAACCCAAACACAACAAACCAAACACAACAACAACCCAGTTCTAAAGAAGTGAGCTTTTTCAATCTACACTTAAAAGTGCACAGCGTCCAGTGGCTGCCTAATATCGGACGGAAGAACGTTCCAGACGGCCGCCATGGTCAATCCACTGCTGGATGACTGCTGCTGCCCCCTCTTACGGACCCTGCGTTGTCACGACCCACCAGGAGCCTGCAACGGGTTACAGAATTTTTTTTCTCACAGGGACCACACGCGCGATTTTGTTTGAAATAGTTTTTTTCTTCTCGAGCTCAGATGTTATTGCGTTGCCATTGGTGCCTGGAAACACCCCACCCCTCCCCTCCCCTCCCCCCGTGCTCACCTGGGCAAAATGTTTTGTTGTTTAAATACCACGGCGTACAGTGTGGGGCACAACACAGAGCTTGGGACGTGACCTGCGTAGCTTCACGGTGGGGTGGGGGTGGGAGGTTAAAATATATTGGACACCGTGGATATGGGGCCGTCCATAAATGACATCACGCACCGGGGGGGGGGGGGGTCAGACATTTGTGACGGTGTGTAACGAAGGGGGGGGGTGAGAAATGTGACGTCACATTCAAAATGTGCAACTTTAAATAAATATAGGCAACACGTTCTTCTTAATTAAATAGACTATTTAATACATGATAATTGGTTCTTTACCCTTCTATCTGGCAACAAAACTGACACCTTTTTGCAAGGAGTCATGTTTGCATAGACCGCAATACCTGCAGTCATAATACAAACAAAAGAACATAACTCTGATAATGTGCACTGTCCTGTTCTTTTGTTTGTATTATGACTGCAGGTATTGCGGTCTATGCAAACATGACTCCTTGGTAAAAGGTGTTAGTTTTGTTGCCAGATAGAAGGGTAAAAAACAATTATCATATTTTTACTGGCAAATGAGGTCCCCATAGTATTTAATACATGTTCTCTCCTACAACATCAGAGTGCAGCGCCACGTTAAATACGCACTACAATGACAATAGTTTAAAGCGATTTGAAGCATGTTTTATTTTGGGGGGGGGCAGAGCTTTGTGACTTCATGTGACGAAGGGGGGGGGGGGTAAAAACTCGTCCAAAATAGCGTGACGTCATTTATGGACGGCCCATATCACAATTACAATACTATGCAGGTAAAAACACAAACAATAGGCTGCTTTGCTACCTTCTGAGGTACAAAGAAAACTCGGACGTATCATGGGAACATAAATATCCCACGACACCAGAACTACATTTAAGTTGCTACATTGTCGTAAGTGGTGTAGAGGTTGGTCCAGATCTCTTGTGACCCCCAATTAACTGACCCCTCAATTTTATCATATTCATTTCTGTAAAAAAAATAATTGGGGTCACATGACACTGGGACCATCCCGTAATTTTGTAAAATTTCTCCAGAACAGCCATCATAAAAAGAGGGCATTCGAGTGAAAACCGGGACCGTTGGCAACCCCAGGCAAACGTCATATGTCCTTTTAATAATGCAAAGAAAGAAGATAGTCCACCTCGGTTAAAAGTTTCTTGACGACACCAGATATTTATTTTATATTTTTTCGAAAATAACATGGCATTTGAGAATACAAAGACAAAGATCCTGCGTATAGCCTTAGCAGACTTGGGGCAAGTGTTGTTAGCGAGCACCTATGAAGGTGTGGGTGGCCAGCACCACCACACCCTTGTCTCCTCAGTGGGGATGTTTACACGTTGCACCAGGTACACATTTTGAGGCCGTATGACCGATACAACAAAATTGAGACTCCGTGATGGAATCTATATTTCAGGTATTTTGATTTTACAAACAAGTTAAGACTACACTATTTGGCAAAACTTGCCTCTCATAGCCATTGCCAGATACAGAATACCGATCTCCATGTGGGTCTGTACTGCTCCGTCATGGGTATGCAGTGACACCAAGCTTGTGCGTGTGGGAGTGCAGATCGACTAAGGTCAAAATCATCGAGCATCGGCCACTGAGGATCGGGTTGGTGTGCAGTCATCGGTCACGGCACTGACACCATCAATTTCGCAATTCTCTTAAATATTAAGCAACATTGTCGTCCTCGTCAATGTTGGCTTTGTGATAATTAGCGTCCATCATCATCATTAGTAGCCATGGCTTCCCCAAGCTGTTGTCGTCTTTCATGGTTTGTGTTGGAGGCCTGGAAACAAACAAATAAATAAATAAGTCGAATTCTCCACGGGGCATGATAACCGATAACTCCGGATAATTGGAAGACGTTTTTGAATAACTCTGTTCAACACCGTGGTCTGGGCCCCAAGATATTTGGATGGCCGTGCCTCCCACATATTTCGCAAGCAGGAACCGTTTTTTTGCCGACCTCGGATAAAGAAATTCCCGGATAATTGGTTCGCGGATAAACGGAGTTTGAAATGGGCCACAATGCTCGGCTTTGCGCCGCTAAATGCAGGCTAGAGAACGGCACTGCAATGCGTTGGAGCAAGAAGGAAACTCCTTCCAGAGGGCACGGTTATGACTGCCTGCTGCTGTAATCAGTCGGAAACAGGTCCCACCGCATTCCTGACAGACGGTGCATTATCAGGGCCGCGGCCCGCTCTGTGCGACTGCGAGAAAGCCATCGGCAAAGATCGGTGCGAACAACAACCGAAACACGACAAAAATACACTCAGAAGTTTCACGAACGCGTCGGAGCTAATGCGTCCTCATGCGCGCGACGTTTGTCAATCCGCGTGAGGAGCTCCCCACGCCGTGCGGGTCACGGGGGGTTTCTCGACCATGCTTCACCACGCTGGTCAACACAGGTGGTTTTCAGTTTGATGTGGCACGATTGATCCAATTTTAAACTTTGTACACATTACTGGAACTAACCTTGGTTTCGATCACACCAGTTTTCAACCAAGCCTCGCACCGGATTAACATGAACGCGTGCAACGTTTTTGCTCAATCCACTGCTGGATGAGTTCCTCCCTGTACTCAATTGGTGATTGGGCTTATTTTACCATACTCTTAGTTCTTTCGGTAAAGTCATGTAGGTAAAAAATGAAATTAAAATTAATTCAAATTCAAATTAATTTTAATTTCATTTTTTACCTACGTGACTTTACCGAAAGAACTAAGAGTATGGTAAAATAATTTAAATTAATTTTAATTTCATTTTTTACCTACGTGACTTTACCGAAAGAACTAAGAGTATGAATCCTTGCAGTCACGAAAGCTTCAAATCTAGAATTATTTTACCATACTTCACCATGCTGGTCATTTTTAGACTTGGGAGTGTACGAGTATAGAACACACAAGAGTGGCATTTGCTGCGTCACGCTTACGTAGCCCCACAGCCTATAGCACCTGTCATGCAAGGTGGTCTCCCATCCAAGTGTAATCCAGGCTAGTTTCCGAGACATGACAACATTGCGTGCAATCCGCGAGACTTGGTCATAAACTGCAGCATGCAACGTGCATGACCTATACGACAAAGTCGAGACTCCATGATGGGATCTTTGTTTCAGGTATTTTGATTTTCCAAACAAGTTAAGACACGAGCCTTGGCAAGCTCGCCCCCCATAGCCACTGCCAGATACGGTATGCCGATCTCCATCTGGGTCTGTACTGGTCCGTCTTGGGTATATGCAGAGACACCAAGCTTGTTGCTGTGGAAGTGCAGATAGATTAAGGTCATAATCATCGGTCACCAGCCACTAATATCGGTGACGGGGCTGACACCATCAACTTGACATTAATTACGTAATACAAAAAATCACCACCGTCAACCTTTGTGATATATCGCACCGTCACCATCATAGTAGCCATGGTGGAGAAAGGCGACAGGCTTTGGTCACCGATCTGACATGGGTGGAGGAAGCTCAGCTGCGGGTCCAGAAGGATGCCTCGGAGGTGAGGGGGCATTGCCCATCTACGAGCCAGTTGTAGAAATTCCTCGTTACGATTGCAGGGGGTGAGTATATTCTAAAAAAAAGCATTTGAACTGTTTTTTTGTTATTTTACCAGCTAAGGCCCACTGAGCTATATAGCCCTTTTTTTCAGAAGTGACCTGCCACAAACAAAAGCTCAACCAAGTGGTGGCTTATGATCACGTGAAAATGCACAGCGGCCAAATACTCCAAACGCACGTTGATTCTAAATGTGGAGGGGAAAAACTGGAGGACGCGGAGAAAAATCCACGCGACCACGGGGCGCGAGAAACAGGCGTCAGGGTCAGGATCGAACCCACGACCTCCTGCATCCGCTGACCTTCCACAAACGTGGCCCGAGTTTCACCGACCCTCTCTCTCCCGTCGTCGCTCTCCGCGCAGGCCCTGGGCCAGATGTACTGCAGCCAGCGGCAGACGGTGGTGGAAGGGGCGACGCGAGAGGAAATACTCCTGGACGAGTCGGCGGGGAAGGACGCGTTCTACCTCTCTGAGTTCCTGCGCCTGGAGGGAGAAGTTCGCCACTCGCGCACGACACTCAGCAACGCGCAGGCCGAAGCCCAGCGGCTCGACTGCCTCACCCTGGGCCTCAGCGAGGTGAGCGACGTTTTTGTTGGAAGTGGATATCGCATTGGGGGGGAGGGGAGGCCGTGCGTGCGAGTCGTCGCTCCTTCTCTGCTGCTGCTCCCCGTTGTCTGGAATTCCCTGCCTCTGTGTTCGAGTCCAGGCTGAAGACTTTCCTCATCTCTCTTCCGATGGCTCTCTGCCTCTTTCTCTCTCTCTGATGCGTCTTCGGTCACACTTTTACTAAACATCATCTTGACCGCCAACCCCTCTCTGACCTATTTTATTCTGCCCATCAATCTTACACATGTCTTTGCCGTCTTCTCATTCGAAATATACTAATCCAGAACCTCTCTGAATCAACAAAAACTGGAACCCTAAAAAAATGTATATAATTACATAAAAAATATTATAAAGAGGTCACTATCACATTCCACATACACACCACACACGCCTGTATGTCTATGCCACCAAAGTTGCGTGCATTCAGGCTAATTACGCAGTTGCGCAGCGCAAGAGTCAGATTTTTGAGGCTGGTGTTTTTAGGGGCTGCTATATCAATGAATTAAGTTTAGCTCTCTCCAGAAAATGAATGGCTCGTGTGTGCGTGTGTACAAATTAATTGACTGCAATTAGCAAGGAAAGTTGACTGAACACACACACACGGGGCCGGTGAGATATTCTCTTTCCACGTTCTTGGGGGGTGGGATAAATTATTAAATCGCCTTTGGCCTGCGTCCCACGCCAGCATGAGCAGATGCAAATTTGAATGACTCCCTTGCGGTGGGCTTTGCAACATTTTCAATTATATATGTAAAAAATGCTTGGTACAAATTACCGCTAATTAACAAGCTCCAGGGCAGAACACAATTATTTTCACGGTGGGATTCTCGAACATAAATGCACGTGTAAAGAAATATAAATCTTCATAATTTTAAATACAACGGTTGCTGACAATTAGAAACAAAAAAAACATACATACATGCTAAACAGTGCTGTGCAAATATAGAAAAATTGTCGAATTTGGAGTGGTACGATATAAGCCGTGGAACGGTTTTGGGTTATTGGAAACAGATGCAATGCTCTGGCGTGCAGAGCTTTCCTCTGTGTAGACCTAAAGCGTTTGTTTGTTCAGTAAAAAAACTTATAGAACTAAAAAAAAATTAACCCGTAAAAACAAAGTTTTTCACTATAAATCCTTTATATGCGTGGCGGCTAGAGTCCTCTCGTCCTCTGGCTTGAGATGGCTGTCACCTATGGGTCAGATGATTGCCTGCCACCATTAAGCAATTGGTAATTCAATATCATTTTTTTTCCTAAAAAGTGTAAAATTTTGGAAAAAAAATTTCACGAAAATAAATTGTCACGCACAACGAGCCTGTGTGCAAAATGTCAGCTCGATTGGATCACGGGAAGTGTGTTAAAAAAACGACCGAAAGATTTGCACGGTCGTAAGCGCTCAAGCAAGCAAGCGAACTTAATATAAAGGATTAAAAAAGGCATGCTCAGCTCACAGTGGAACTGCTTTCGAAGGAACACTCGGAAATGCTGTTGACGGTGGCCACTCGCTCGCTTTACTAGCAATAATGTGTATTATATAACCGAGGGTAAACACTGCAGATTCCCATTACATTCTCAAGGGGTACTGGCAAGATGCCAACAATACACTCGCCCAGGCTTTGGCGTGTGCGCACGCATGTGATCCGGCACAGTGAAGGCAGCCAGAGTTGGTGGATCAGCACACAGATGTCGTGAAACTCCTTTCCCATGGTGTGTCTAGGAGGTGCCATACCCTGGCTCGCCAGGAGAAGGCATTGCAGCGAGTGGTCTGATTGCCACCCGTTTCCATCTGTACGGGGGTTGGAGCGTTGCCTCCTCGTGGGTGCTCCTGTTTCCTCCCTACTTGTACAATAATTCATGAATTAGCTGAAAACTTTCTTAAAATAAAATCCACAATGAAGTATCCTCCTGAAGCAGAATTCTGCAGCTCAGTGATGCTTTCCTCGATTGATAAGTAAATGTCCACTTTTGACTTACCCAATAATCCCTCGTTAGCTCACCTAAGCACCCATCCACTCACCCACCCACGCACCCACCCACCCACGCACCCACCCACTCACTCACCCATCCACCCCCTACTTTCTCATTCACTTACCCACTCACTCATTCACCCACCCACCCACGAATCGAATAACACACTCGCCGCTTGATTTTCTCTTTCTCATCCACCCACCCACCCACGCGTTAATTCGCTCACTCACCCACTCACTAACTCTACTCGCTTACTGAGCAACTCATTCACCCTCTCTCTCGCCCGCCCGCCCGCCCGCGCGTCTGCTGGTGCGCTCCGTCACTTTGACACGCCACGCGACATGGCTCTCGTCGCTCGGCTGCTCGGTTCAGAGCGTGCAGGAGCTGCAGTCGGAGAGGGGTCTTCTGCGGGAGGAGCTGAAGCAGTACAAGCTCCAGGAGGCCAGGCTGCTGCAGGACTTCAGCGAGCTGGAAGAGGAGAACATCTCCCTGCAGAAGCAGGTCTCCATTCTCAAGCAAAATCAGGTGGGAGAAACGCACCCAGCCACAAGCATCCGCACACCAGACCCCTAAGCAATGGGGGGTAGGGGGTTAATCCCCCCACCCCCACACCTCCAACCCCCCTGACCCCTGACCCCTCACCCCCCACCCCCCAGACCTGCTAAGCACAGTGTTCTTCACAAATTTTCAGATGGGGGCCACTTTCGAAGATAATAAATCATCAGTGTGAGGAAGGCCGCCGCACATTTGAAACTATTGGGGGTTTGGCACGATGATGATGATGATGGGGGGTGTTTCCACTCTTTGTGTATTGTGGGGGGCCGCACATCAGGGGCCGCATTGAAGGCCACCAGGGGCCTGCCAGTGGCCCCTGGTGGCCTTGCAATGAAGAACGCTGTTCTAGACTGTACCATGTTTGCATTACGAAAAATATTGGACTTTTACATTTGTGGAATTTATTTGTTTTCTTCCTAAGTCTCATTCTGGTCTCGATAAATATGTTGACAACCCAGCGTCCCGAGCGAATTGAATTTGCAAGTAAAATGTACAGTTTGTGAAACTCTTTGCGAGCGTTTGATAGGGCGGTGCTTGTTTATGTGAAGTTCATTCCACGGCAGCATTTAATGTCAACAAGAGTTGTTTTAGGGCGTAACTATATGCGCACACTCGGTGTATTTCACCAGATGCAGGTAGCATTTGGTCGTAAAAATAACAAAACTGTGTAAAATAAAACAAACAAAAAAGATTTACAGTAATTTCATAGGAAGAACCTTTTTTGTGATTTAGTGGACAAAAGAGAGATACAATTTTCATGTAAATTATAAACAATATTTATACTTTTCATGCCTTTGTGAATCCATGGCTGTATGAAGGCCTCCCTATGCCTTTTGGTCGTGGGGTATGTTTGACCATACTTCACCATGCTGGTAAACGTGCGCTAACATAGGAGGGGTAAAGGAGAGAGGAGGGGGGGGATAGTGGTTGCAGGACTGGTTCAGACTCAACTCACCCTCAGAAACGTGAATTTAAAAGTATTTGGCCGATTTAAATGTCCACGCGATAAGCCACTTCATCGAGCTATCACTTGTGGCCAGTTCGCTTCTGAAAAATACATACGTAGCTCAGTGGGCCTCACACGGAATAATTTTTTTCCGTAATAAATGCTCAACACCCGGTCGAACCCAGGATCCCACTCTTGAGAGCGCGCTGCCGTGTGAACGAGCCCTCTGACCGCCGTGCGTGATCGCGCACCGCCCGCGCGCGTGGCTGCGGCGACAGGTGGAGTACGAAGGCCTCAAGCTGAAAATCCGTCAGCTGGAGCAGGAGGTGGAGTTCATCAACAGCCAGCAGGAGGAGGCCCTCCGCCTCAAGTCCATGGCCGAGAAGCAGCTGGAGGAGAGCCTCGAGGTGCTCGCCGCGGAGCGCGAGCAGAAGAGCCTCCTGCGCAAGGAGTTTGCCCACTACTCCGGTTTCGGGGACGTGGCGATCACCCACGGCGTCACCCTGGCCGACTCCTCCTCGCCGGAGCGGCCGGAGCTCGACGACGAAGCGACGACGGCGAATGGCCACGGCCCAGCGGCGAGCCAGGTGAAGGGCCGTTGCTCGCCCGGCGATCGCAGGAGTTGGGACGGCAGGTCGCCGGCTCCCGGCGTCGTCTCGGATCTGCTGAGCGAGCTGCGATTCACCGAGATCCAGAAGCTGCAGCAGCAGCTCGCGCAGGTGAGAGCTTCTGCGTCCCAATTACGTCGCCAGATTCAAGGAATGTTATCCTGGTCAGGCGTCGCCTGGTCACGCCGTCGCTTTGGCGGTCGATAGCACGGGTGCCGCGTTGTGCGGACGTCGAGGGTGGCGGTTGTACCACGGATGAGCTCGTCCCTGCCATAAGAATGCAGAATGTGTAGCACTGGCACAGAGCTGTAATCGGGAGATAATCACCGCCCACGTGGTCAGTTGAGTGGGAAAGAAAGATACTTTTTTGTGTTGTGTTTCTGAGCATAAACACAATTCGGAATCTGTGATGAAAATATCTCTTAGCAACCAGCACTGAGTAAGCATTGCCTAAGCAGATGGTCCCGTGGGAGCAGCAACACTTACTGACTTGTGAGTCGTGTGCCCTACATAAGACAACATAAAACAAATAAAAAGCTCCATTAACCTAATTAAGTTTATTGTCAATTATACTTTAAACATTTGGCCGAATTCAGTTTCATCATAAATTAGCGCATTAAAAAAATACAATTCGTAATATTGTCGTTTACTTTTTTCTAAGAAAGCTGCATGAAGTCTCAAGCCTCCTTTTCAGGTTTCTGCATTTGGGGGTTGCGTGGCAAATTCCATCGACGAGTGCACGTACGGTGCGTGGGTGGAAACCTGACGTACAGGGGCGTCACGGTGGCGAGATGTTAACTCCCTCGCCTGGTATACAGGTGGTCGCGGGTCCGATCCCGACCCTGACGCCTGCTGCTGTATATTTGGAGTGTGCAGTTTTTTCCCCGTGGTCACGTGGATTTGTCTCCGGGTCCTCCGGTTTTTCCCTCCACATTTAGGAACACGCGTTTAGATTATTTGGCTGCTATAAATTTTCACATGATAAGCCAATTCATTGAGCTATGATTTGTGGCCAGGTAGCTTCTGAAAAAGAGACATATAGCACAGTGGTTCTTACCTGGTAAAATAAAAATAGTTAATAGTTTTATATGAAAAGTAGAATTTAACTCTGCAATCGCATAGACCAGGGGTTGGAAACTTGCGGCTCCGTAGCGGAATGCGTCTCTATACAAACTGCTTCATGATGTAATCTATTCACATGCATTGAAATATTGAGTTTCATACCATAATCGTAAAAAATGGCTTCTCTTTTTATTTTGGTTGCCTTCGATGCATCGCAGTGGGTGATGTTCTGCCTTTGCTCCTTCACAGGTTGAAAAGGAAAACAACGGTCTTCAAGCAAAACTGCAGGAATGTCAGAAGGCCCTGGCACAGACGGAAGAGACTCTCAGCAATCAGCGAGAACTTCTCAACCAAGCGACTGATTTCAAGGGTGACAGCAATGGAAACGTGGAGAATGGAAACCATGGAATTTGCCCGGCCGCGACGGAACATTCCGTGGGAAACCACGGGACGGACGGCGTTAAAGGCAAAGCGGCGCAGAGAGACTGTTCCGACGAGGAGATCGCTTCTCTGCAAGAAAAGCTCCTGGACTTCGAGTCGCGAGAGGGCAACGTCGTGGAGAAGCTGTCATCGATGGAAGAGCGGGAGAGGAAACTGCGGGATCTGGTGGAGGTGACGCGGCAGGAGCTCAACGCGGCCCAGGAGGAATTGGTGCTGTTCAGCGAGGAGCTTGCCAACATCTACAACCGCGTGTGCATGCACAACAATGAAATGCCCGAGCGCATCATGCTGGACTACTACAAGAACGGCGGCGGAGAGGCCCCCGACGCCGGCGGCGTCGCCCTCCACTCGTCGGACGACGGGCCGCCCGGCCCTCGCCGCCCGGCCGCGATCGCCGATCCTCGCAGCGGCCCCGACGCGGTGCCGCCGTCCCCGCTGTCGTCGGTCCGGGCCGAGCCCATGGGCGTCGGCAGCCTGACGGCCGTGGTCCGCTCGCAGGTGAGCCGCCTGCAGGGCGCCGTGGAGCGCTCCCTCGAGGTGTCGTGCCAGCGGTCGGCGGCGCGCGACGAGGAGGCGCTCTCCGCCGGCAAGGACAAGGGGACGCTGGCGCAGGAGGTGCTCAAGCTCAAGTCGCTGCTCAACACCAAGCGCGAGCAGATACAGACGCTGCGCATCGTGCTCAAGGCCAACAAGCAGGTCGGTTCATGTCCCCCCTAGCCCCTACCGCCCCCACCCCTCCCCCGTTGGTGTCACGTGGTGTTTTGAATTCAATAATGAGAGCAGCCTGGTTGGGCACCAATAAGGTGCTGTGGATAGTTTGGGGACCATTCGTGAGAGTAGTAGTAGGTTTTTACCCTTTTAAACTGGTACAAAACTGACACCTTTATTCAAGGCATCATGTTTGCAATAACCACAACACAAGTAGTCAAAAAAGTAAACAAAAAGAAGTAACTCTGATAATGATAATAATATGACTGTCCTTGAAGTTATTATCATTATCAGAGTTGCTTCTCTTTGTTTGCTTTTTTGACTACTTGTGTTGTGGTTATTGCAAACATGATGCCTTGAATAAAGGTGTCAGTTTTGTACCAGTTTAAAAGGGTTAAAACCTACTACTATATTTTGCCACTGGTAAAAGAGATCTCATAGTGTCATTGGTGAGAGTTTAAGTAAAACAAACAACCTTATTGCAATTCTCCCTATAAGTAGCGTATATGTTGTTTGTCTCTTGACTGCCGTTCTTAAACACGTTATTGTTCGTTTTAACGTGAGGTCAGAAACACTCACTTCGTCTGGGCTCTCCAGTTGCCTGGGCAAAAAAGTGATCGGCGTTTTGCTGAATGCTGGCCAGTTTCCTCGAAAACTTGATCAATTAAATTAAACTAATGCAGCTGCGGGGGGGGGGAGGAGGGAGGGGGTGGGGCAATCGTACGCAAACCTTGGCGGGTGCGGTGTGGACAATGCAGGGGTCGTCGGTGCTGCCTTGAATAAGTGCTTTACGGTTAACTGTAACTTGATAAAACAAGATCAACAGATATATATTCTTGGTTCTTTCGGTAAAGTCACGTAGAAGAGAAATAATAAAATAATATAAATATATAACAATAAAAATTATCATGACGTTTCGACTGCAACACAAGCAATCGTCATCAGGTGTGAAATCCACAGCAAGAAAATTAAAAAAAACAGACAATCATTATCAGGTGTGAAATCCACAGCAAGATTTCACACCTGATGATGATTGCTTGTGTTGCAATCGAAACGTCGTGAGAATTTTTTTTGTTTAATATTTTTATTATTTCCCTTCTACGTGACTTTACCGAAAGAATCAAGAATATGAATCCCTGCAGTCACGAAAGCTTTAAATCAAAAGATGAACAGACTTCCCCGAGCTTCGCCGTCAGCAGGTGGGCTTGCGCAGGACGCATCGCCCGAAGGGTCAGAGGTGAACGGGCGAGGATGTTTACCGGCTAGCAGCCGAGAAATGGAAACGCGTCCGCGAGAAAGCCCATCGGAGGGGGGGTAGAAGACGTTGCGATGAAAACCTCTCGTGCGGATTGTCACACGTCGCGAGATCGTGAGAGACGGCGACCACTTCGGGGGAGGCCGCCGTTATCCACCAGCGGAGCGGCACGCGTCCGACGAGCCTGGCGAAGCGAACGGATGTGTCGTTGTCCGCCGTCGCAGACCGCGGAGGTTGCGCTCTCCAACCTGAAGAGCCGATACGAGAACGAGAAGTGCCTCGTGATGGAGACAGTGCTCAAGATGCGTAACGAGCTGAAGGCGCTCAAGGAGGACGCGATCACCTTCTCCTCGCTGCGCAACATGTTCACCACCCGGTGGGGAAAGCACGATGGCACCACTCGCTCGTCCGTCCACTCGTCCGTTCGTTCACTAGAAACTAAACGATGAAACATACGTAAAGCCAGGCATGTGTGTACGTACGTTGAACGTCTTTCGCACCGCACGTAGCCAACCGTGCTAATCAGAGGTGCGGGGGAAGGAAAATAAACTAAAAATACGGAAGGCTGTTCTAAAGGAATGAGTTTTAAAGCTACAATGAAAGCTACGTAGGTCTTTGTCAGAAGCGACCCAGCCACAAATGATAGCCCAGCAAAGTGGCTTTGCACGTGGAAATTTATAGCAGACAAATACTCGAAACGCGTGTCGACTTGAAACGTGCAGGGATAAACCGGAGGACCCGGAGAAAAATCCACGTGACCACGGGGAGAAAGAGAGACGTGCAATCTCCAAATATACAGCAAGCGTCAGGTTTGGGATGAAACCCACGACCTCCTGTATACCAAGCGAAGCAGTTAACATCTCGCCACCACGGGGCAACCTTAATTCGTTTAACCCAGGGGTCGGCAACCTACGGCTCCGGAGCCGCATGCGGCTCTTTACAGGCTGCTTCTTGACGATATGTACGTATGTACAGTATGTACTCAGATGCATTGCGGCTCTTGAAATACTGAATTTTGTACCGAATTGGAAAGAAATGGCTCTTCTTTGTTATTTCGGTTGCCGGCCCCTGGTTTAACCCCTTGATCATCCATTTCAATCGCTCAATTGTAACAATAAACAGAGCAGATGTCGCCCCCTCCTGCAACAACTTGGAAGGTCCATAATAGAGGTTTTTAGGGTTAGATCGCTTAAATATATAAATGTGTCGTTAAACCTGCCACCGCCCAACAACTAGCTTCATCAGGCGACAGACAGATTTGTGGAGAAGTCTAACTGTTTCGTTCCTTATATAGAGGCGTAGATGTGTATAAGACACAGTTGGACTTTGCCACAAATCTGGATGTCACCTGATGAAGCTAGTTGTAATTACTGGCGAAACGTCGTATTCAGTTTGTAAATGTCGTGGCTTGGCTCTCCAACACACCGGTGTGCTGTACTCGTGACGAATTGGCCACTTTCTATTTACGTGACAACCCTTACGAGTTGGCTGTGTCGGGCGGTGGCGGGTTTAACGACACATTTATATATTTAAGCGATCTATCCCAAAAAAACCTCTATTATGGATGATATTGGTCGCGAAAGCCCATGTGTTAAACTTGGAAGGTTAAACCTTGACTAAAATCTTTCGTGACTGCAGGAATTCATATTATTGGGTATTTCGGTAAAGTCACGTAGATAGGTTCAAAGAAAATAACAAAAAAATGACTTATTTTGTTTTGTTATTTCTTTGAATCTATCTACGTGACTTTAACGAAAAACCCAGGAATATAACTTGCAAGGTGCCCCCGTGACTAAACACGATTAATAATCATCAATGTCATCGACTAAAGTCTTCAAGTCAAGTCACAAAATAGTATTAGTGATGACGATCGTGGTGGGAATCATGATAGTGATAATGGTGATGATGATGACGGTGGTAATGATGATAGTGGTGATCGTGATGATAATGAAGGCGGTAATGAAATAAGGGGGTTTGACTCAAAGCCTTTCTTCAAACGCACAAAGGGGTCACGTGACAGCGGCTTGTGACGGCCTTCTGGAGAGTTCCTCCTTCCGATATTAGGAAGCCACTGGAGCTAAAACTCGTTCCTTTAGAACTGCTTTTTGTGCGTAGTGTATTGTCCTTCCCCGCGCACCTCCGATTAGCGCGATTGCCTCCGCACGGTGTGAAAAAAAAGTTCAACGTACGTACACGCAGAGCCAGAGCAGAGCGCACGACAGGCAAACGCGCATCTCACCGTCACTCGTCCCGTTCAGCGTTCACCATCTCTCGTCGTCAACCGTGACACGTGCGTCGCCGTGAGTCACCACCCGGCTCGCACACCCGCGTTAAACGAGGTGGCGTTCGCTACAGGGCCGGCCGCGCTCCTGTGTGCCCCCCACCTGGCACACCCGCCCTCCATCTCCCCTCCAGGTGCGACGAGTACGCGTCGCAGCTGGATGACATGCAGCGCCAGCTGCTGGCGGCAGAGGATGAGAAGAAGACGCTCAACTCGCTGCTGCGCATGGCGATCCAGCAGAAGCTGGCGCTGACGCAGCGTCTCGAGGACTTGGAGATGGGACGGTCGGAGCACGGACGGCACGCTCACCACCCCGGCCACACCAAGGTGCGCCCCGGGCCGCCTTCCTCCCCTCTCCCACCCGAGCATTGGTGATCATCCTCATCCTCCTCCTACTCGGTGATTGATTTCATCCCAACCCTGACGCTTGCTGTATATTTGGATTTAACGACACATTTATATATTTAAGCGATCTAACCCCAAAAACCTCTATTATGGACCTTCCAAGTTGTTGCAGGAGGGGGCGAAACCTGCTCTGTTTATTATTACAATTGAGCGATTGAATGAATGGATGATCAAGGGGTTAAACGAATTAAGGTTGCGCCGTGGTGGCGAGATGTTAACTGCTTCGCCTGGTATACAGGAGGTCGTGGGTTTCATCCCAACCCTGACGCTTGCTGTATATTTGGAGATTGCACGTCTCTCTCTCTCTCCCCGTGGTCACGTGGATTTTTCTCCGGGTCCTCCGGTTTATCCCTGCACGTTTCAAGTCGACATGCGTTTCGAGTATTTGTCTCGCTATAAATTTCCTGTGCCTCGGGCCTACGAAAACTCAAGGGCCTATGAAAAAAAAAGTGACCACGTTTTTAGTTGTTGTTTGCATGATGAAACACTTTAACCAACATTTGTTCTTGAATACATAGAGTTACATAGCAAGAATAGGCACAGTGTATATACAGCAGAGTCATGTCAATCGTGAGAGAAATGAACGCAGACATCTAACTGTTGCTTGTGTCTTCGACAGTGCTGAGTGCCCGCCTACTGCCGGCCACGTTTCCATCGATCGCGTTTGACCTCCGCGCTTTGGACGAGGTGCGAGGGCTCTCAGACTTAACAGCACAAAGGTCACGACCTTCGTGCTCAGGTCACGACCTTCGGGCTCCACCGGTTCGTTGCCTCGGTTGCACAGGACGTTGAAAGACCGCCGCCCCCCCCCCCCCCGTGAGATTATTTGACAAAGGGGGGGCCTCTAGTGCCGGCGTCACGACCCAAATTAGCCAAATGAGAAGAATTACCCGCAAATGACTCCGTCGGGAGACACGGCAGCAGTGACGCTGCCCCCCCACCCACCGCGGACGCTGAAGAGTGTTGAGACTCGATGAAGCATCCCAGAGTTGACTAAGTGTGTCATTATTCGTGCAAAATTAATCACGAACAATTATCAGAACGTACCAAAGACGAAGGGCTACTGCATTCTCCTGCATAGATTTCGATATTGTTTTTTTATACGTGTAAGATATATATAAAACAATTGTTGACACCCGCTAATCAAACACCACATTTTTATGAAGCCATTGAAGGTACTCCTAGAGTATATGTGTATGTTAAAATTAAAAGGCTTTAATGTATACCCCCTCAAGTTAGCATTAACGATTGTGTGGTATTTATTGAAATTAATTTCGTGACTTCAAAGCACATTTGAAAGTACATTTTGCACACTTGTTCCAATATTGTACGGCAATTATGATTATAACTATTCAACGACCCGAAATGTTATCTAAAGTGCTGAGTCTTTCCCAGGGCTAAATTTCGACCTTAGCTGGCTGTCACGTGGTGAGATACACAAAATATTCAACGCCCCGCCCCCCTCCCCATCCCCCTCCCCACACCGCCCCCCCTCCCCCTCCCGCCCCCTCTCCCCGCCCCCCCCGCTATGAGGAGTCTACATTACAGTCTACATTATAGACTGCCAGCACGCTCACTCAGGTTCAGTTTAATAACCATTGCTACAGTCTACATTATAGACTGCCAGTACGCTTACTTAGGTTCAGTTTAATAACCATTGCTACAGTCTACATTATAGACTGCCAGCACGCTCATTCAGGTTCAGTTTAATAACCATTGCTACAGTCTATATTATAGACTGCCAGTACGCTCACCAGCTTAAAAACCAAGCTACAGCCTTTCCAGGCTATAGTCCACATTATAGACTGCCAATACCCTCACTGTTTTATTACTTTTATTAATATTATTTATCTAAGTGACTTTACCGAAAAAACCAAAGAATACGGGGCAACATGTGTTTGAGCACAGCATTGATACACGATGCTTTTTCTGGAAGACTTTGCTGTTTTTCCTGGATTTTTCTGTTGCGCGTAGTCACTTTAAGATGTTTTCTTGTTCATGTTTTGTTTGTTGCGGTTGCACCCGATTCAAGAGCCGAATGGCTCACAGCGCTATACCAAATAAATGGACTGAACTGATGGTTGGGGGGGGGGGTCTTAGCTGCCTTGGCCCTACATTTTTGCATACAAAGTGCTCGCTACAGTTCTAGATTTGAAGCTTTCGTGACTGCAATGATTCATATTCTTAGGTTTTTTCGGTAAAGTCACGTAGGTAAAAACATTAAAAAGTAAAATAAAATAAAAATCACGATGTGACGGAAGCTTGTGTTGCCTCCGAAACGTCGTGATTTTTATTTTATTTTACTTTTTAATGTTTTTACCTACGTGACTTTACCGAAAAAACCTAAGAATATGCTCGCTACAGATGGAACGCAACGCCTCCCCGACCTCACCGAGGAGCGTAAACCACCACGTCAACTCCTCGCAGCAGCAGCAGCGGCATCGGTGGCGGCTCTTGGCTGACCATCGAACAAAGACGGTGGCCGCAGGAACGCTCTTCCTTCCGATATAAGGAAGCCACTGTAGCCATTCGATTATAAATCTGATCTGAAAACGAATTTCTTTAGAACTGATTTTTATGCGTTTAGCATGTCGTCGTTCAACCGCACCTCTGATGGCTACGTACGGCGTGAAATAAGTTCAACATACGTACGAGTACGCGCATTTGAACGCTGCGTTTCCAGAGGGGGTTGCCCTCATTGGAATCGGAACGTGCGAACCAACTCCGGTGTTCAGCACGAGGCGGCGCTCAGGGACCTCGCAACGCAACCCAGCGAATTGGCAAGGGTTGTGATTGTTCTATTTAAAGCTTTCGTGACTGTAGGGATTCATCTTCTTGGTTCTTTCGGTAAAGTCACGTAGAAGGGAAATAATAAAATAATAAAATAAAACATAATAAAATCATTCTCACGACGTTTCGGCCACAACGCAAGCAGCCGTCCTCAGGTGAAGACCAGGTCTGTCGGGGAGACAGCGTCTGAATTACATGACATACGTGACTTTACCGAAAGAACCAAGAAGATGAATCCCTGCAGTCACGAAAGCTTTAAATCGAAGTGGTAAACATGTTGACGAATGTGCCGTAGCGTACTGATGAGGCCTAACGAGGACGAAACCGGTCCACAGTTGCGTCTCTCTGTTGCAATGCGGCCCGCTGTTCTGCGTTGTTAAATCTACTCGTCTTTTTTTGGTGTTGTGACTGGGGTTTCTCCCCCCCCCCCCCGTCATTCACAGATTTGAATTACTGTGCACAAGCGCTTTAAACAATGGGATGCAATGTTGATGTACAACACTGACATTTGTTCTTTATAGACAGTTGCTTAACTAAACCTTGCACGCGACTGTAAGCATAGAGATATGGCGTAAAAGTCAGGTGTGTTTGTGTGCACTGGATCTCTCTCTAATCTAGAATGGAGTGTTTTTTTTCAACTCAGAATGTTTTTCTGATTTTCCATTGAAATTTGCTTTCATTTGTACCTCACTACAAGTCAAATATTAATTACCCACAAATTAGTAGAAACATTTTCAAGCCCCCTAAATTCTGTTCTCTTACAATAATGTATTTTGTGCTCATCATACATGCGTGGAATTACGGCTATAAAAAAAACAAAAATATCTTTGTTCACAATTCTACATGTCTGTACAAACGTTGCGATTGAATATACACACAGCTCATAATTCATAGAATCCCCCCACAGGCGAAATACTCTTCAAACACGGATTGGCCAAACATCTAAGTTGTATCGCCATCCTGACAAAAAAAGTCTGAAGAATGAGTGACGCTTTCTTGGAAAAACTTATTTTCCATTGCCCCATTACATACAGTAGGTTTGAATCAGGTGGCGCGGTTCCACGTTCGTTATGCTTCGTTAAACCCAGCAATATGACTGAGTTTAATTCCCGACCACGGCTAACATCAGTGGCGAATTCTATATGAACCGGTCCCATCCCCTCCAAAGACCCACACCGACCAGGGTGGGGAAGTATGGCCAAATACACCCCATGACTGACGCAGAAATGGGAGGCCATCTTCCCGTCTAAAGATTGACTAAAGCGCCGCTAATTGTTATTGCTATGTTTTGGATTCATATCACCGCAATAAATAGAATACATTTACATGTCAAAAGAGTGACCCCCACATAGTGACGATCCGTCTGATGGCGTAGGTATTTCATTATTGTGTCCCGACTTAAAAAAAACGTGCAACAAAAAATCGTCGGTAGTACAGTAACACCTCGGTTTACGTCGGGGATGCGTTCCTGAAAGGCGCAATGACGAATATCGAAGCGACGTCAATTGAAGCGAGTGACAGAGTAGGTGGTGGTGGTGGTGGAGGCAAAGGCTGAGAGGCGACGGGTAACGAGAAAGGAACGGACGGTGCCGCCAGCGACGTGAGTGCGGGGTTGAGGCGACGCAAGTTGGGTAGTAGCCGTGTCGATGATAAAGTGCCGACGTGTTTGCGAGACGACGCAAAAGGGGGCGACGTAAATCGGGGTATTGCCGTCCTGCCCTAAAGTTGGTCCTCGGTTCGTGCCATTGATAGGGCTTCAGTCTCGCCCCGTGAGTGCCTTCATCCAACAGGGGGCAGCCCATGGTTGCTGATGTTGCACTCGCCTAGCCAGTTTGCAAGTTCACCTGTCGAGCTGAATATTCTTTGCTCATGCCACCTAGCGGTCACCAGTTCGTCGATTGGCAACTTCTGTGTGGTGGGGGGCAGAGGTCGCAAACGGGTTTTGATTCCTTACCCGTGCCCGTACCCGGCCGCACCAGGGTCGCAAACGGGTACCCGTACCCGGCCGTACCCGTACCCGGCCGGGTACGGGTAGGGTACGGGTATCGGGTACCTGATTGCGACCTCTGGGATGAAGTCATGTTGCAGGCGCGGGTGGGTTGATTCTAGGAACTTGAATTGTGAGAAGAGACAAGACGTTGGGAAATGAGTGACAAACAGTTACTCACAAGTGACTCACGGTCTACCCGTACCCGTACCCGGCCGCACCAGGGTCGCAAACGGGTACTCGTACCCGGCCGGGTACGGGTAGCCGGGTATCGGGTAAGGTACGATTATCGGGTACCCAGTTGCGACCTCTGGTGGGGGGTAAAGTGTTGGGTGATCCCACCTGCTCCGAGACATCTGAGCAGCATGGAGATCCTCTCCAGGGGACTATCGAGAGCTCCCTCTTGCTGAGGTTTGTTCACCAGCAGTGGATCGAGCAAGCCGTTTCAGGGCTGTGACTTTACCATGCTAAAGATGTGTTTTTTTTGTTACGTTATTATGATTTAGCCGAGTCAATCTGCATTGACTGCTTTACCCGCTGTAGTTCTCATTTTTTTATTTTCTTTTTGATAAAATGTGCAGTGTAACAACGTTACGAGTTGTCACCAATTACCGCATGGGCTTTCGACAAAGATATGTAAGGCTGCTTATATATAACAAAAAAAGTTGTACCGTATTGTCGGCCAACTTTCTGGTGTCCCTTTCCGAAGTTTGTTAGGCTGGACTTCGTACAGACGCGTCGCAGAGTTGTGGAGCGATTCAGCCGCTCGGCGAGTCGCCGAATTAGCCTCGCTTCGTCGTCAGCTGCCGTGATCTGTCCACTGCTGGACGAAGCTTTCCTCCCAAAGCTTCGCCGTCTCTCGCCGTGTAACGGATTCACCGAGCCACGTGCGAATGAGCTGAGTGAAGGAATGATGTACGCATGCTATGTTGAAATTCTTTCGCTCCGTTCGTAGCCCACCGTCCTAATCAGAAGTAGGCCTTCGTCCAGCAGTCTCTATTGACAATCAGCTGTAGATTATGCTCTACAATCTTAATTTGAAGCTTTCGTGACTGCAGGAATACATACTATTTGGTTCTTTCGGTAAAGTCACGTAGGTAGAAAAAATGATAGATCACGACGTTTCGATCGCTACACAAGCAATCGTCCTCAGGTGTGACGATTGCTTGTGTGGCGATCGAAACGTCGTGATCGATTATTTTTTCTACCTACGTGACTTTACCGAAATAACCAAAGAGTATGCTCGACAAATTGACAGGCGTTAGTTATTACACATGCGATTTGTTGAATGCATCCTCAAGCTTAATAATCTATATCAATCGACGAATAATCAAACCCCTAATGTGCTGGTTTATATAAAGCAAACGTACTCACGTGAATGCGATTGTCATTAAAAAATAAATAAACGTCTTCCTTGCGTGGTATTAAACCTCGGCTATTTCAGTAATCTGGATGCTTCCGTGGAGTAAAGGTGACCTCGCTGCACTTGCAAATTCAGAGGTCACCAAGTTCGATCTCTTTGCGCGGCAGTTGAGACGACGGTACGATGCGTCTTAATCCGACGCTGTCCCAACCAACACGGTCGGCTTCGAAACTGCACGCAAGAATTCTAGATTTGAAGCTTTCGTAACTTGCAAGGATTCATACTCTGAGGTTTTTCGGTAAAGTCACGTAGGTAAAAAATAAAATTAAGAATTAATAATAGAAATAATAATAGGAATCAAATATTAAAAGAATACATATTTTTTTTTTACCTACGTGACTTTACTGAAAAAAACCTAAGAGTATGCACGCAAGAAGTTCAACACACACACACAGCGTCGGTGTGAATGGGACCAGCACAGCCAGTCCATCCGTAGGGGGCACAACGCGTGGCTACTCACACATCTTGCAACATTTCAAGGCGCCTGGTTTAGCGTGGAAGATTGGACCAAAGAACGCCATTCTCTTTTCGGCACTCTCTAGAGCTCCCTATAGCGGAGGCGAATCTGGCAGCAAGTGGCGTGAGCAAAGCAATTGCAGGGCTGCACCTTTGCTTTTTATAACTGTAATGTACATACATATATAATGTAACATAGCCTAAGCATTGTATGAAGGTCAGTACGTTTACTGTGTGATTTGCAAAGCAGTTGCCTTAAAGAAACTACATTTGTATATTTTGTATTTGGGTGCATGCGATGGAAGTGCAGTATTTTGTAACTCTAACTTAAATTTTGCAATAAATGCTCTGTGCTTTGTCTATTCCCCGTGGGATGTTTTGTTTCATTTCAAAAGTTAATGATAGTAAGACGGTTCATTCGACACACGAACATCTGTGGAGCTAAAACAATCGCGAAGGTTCTAACATTAAAATTGTATCTGCCAGTCATCTCAGTCTGTTGCCTCACAGCACCTGGGTTTGTCTCGTGACCTCCTGCCAAAGAACCTTTGTCACTCTAGGTGGGACTCAAAGGGCATTTAGCATTGGACAAGCACCACAGCCTTATACAGTAGCATGGTGGCGAGATGTTAACTCCCTCGCCTGATATGAAGAAGGTTGTGGTTTCAATCCCGACCCTGACGCCTGCTGTATATTTGGAGTTCGCGTGTCTCACTCGTGGTCGCGTGGATTTTTCTCCAGGTCCTCCGGTTTTTCCCTCCACATTAAAAAACAAACATGCGTTTAGAGCATTTGGCTGCTATAAATGAGCATGTGTTAAGCCACTTCGTTGAGCTGTCGTTTGTGTGGCCAGGTCACTTCTGAAAAAGAGCTCAGTAGGACTTACCTGTTGAGATAAAACTAGTAGTTTAAAGCGTGTATGCAGGCATGGGTGTGCTTCCGGCATATTGGCCAATCTGCGCAGTAATTAAAGACCCAGTAGAGACCATCATCCCGCGACACTTGAGAACATGGTTTGATCACAGGCGATGAATCACAGGTGCTTAGACTGGAACGCACCAACGTATACGAGTTAATACGATGGACAATTGTAAGCAGGCCACAGTAGGGCAGTTGTAACCATGCAACCCAAGCTACGGACCTCCACCGTAAACCCACTGTGGTCTGCCCTCCTGCAACAGAGGAGGAGGAACAGCAAGAGCACACAAAACTTTCTCTCTCTCTCTCCTGAAGCCATCTCGTCGTGACCAGCAGACCTCGAAATTGGCATTTAGCTCCTGAACATATTTGTGCCGTCATATGCAAGAATAGTAGGACAGCTCGTGACAACGAAGGGTGATGAATGATGACCGAGGCCGTGAATTTGGTGCGGTAATGTTTTCGTAAAAATTCATGGCCGTGATGTGGGTCAAAAGCAAAACTATTCACAGAAAGTTCATGAAATGCCAGTGCATTTTCGTACTAAATAGCTGAAAATATTTACGCATTTCTAATGAATACAAACTTCTCATAACTGTTTAGAAGTTTGATGTGAAAAAAAAAGAAAACCAATTGGCTAGTTTAAAGCGGTGAACTGCGCTGCCCTTAGGAGAGCTTCACGGTTTGGAATATCCAGCGGCCGCCCTGGTGAATACCGCGGTCTGTGTGTAGTAGCCGCCACTACGCCGTGCGGTGTGCTTCACGGTGGACGTCATAGATGCCACGACGCCGTTCGCAAGAGGAAGGCCGTCGCGTGCCGCTGTCGGTGGCTAAGATTTTCCGGATCTTAAAAAATTACACCGCAAATGACTTCCAAGGTCTCAGAGTACGCCGCGGGGGTTAGGCGAATTCGCCTAAGTTGGGGTTCGCCTTTACGAGTCTAGTATATAAAATGTAAGAGTGTATATAAAATCTATATAAATGTACATGAATGTTTAATAAAGTACATTACTCTACAGTAAACGTTTCACGAATCATCAGTAGCATTCAGGTCAGATAGAACACTTAATTATTATTATTCACACTTTATTAGATCACTAGAGACTTGTTTGGACTCGTTTCTTGCGCGGGCGATATAGCTGCAAACCCTCAATTCCACGTCCGCGTGATTTGACTCCTCGCTTCATGCTCCGTGCGCGGGCAGCGAAATCACGAGTCACAAAGTGTCGGGATTGATGGGGGGGGGGGGGGATTCGGTCGCGTATGAGCGGGTCCGCGTACTCTGAGACCTTACGGCACTCCACTGGAATATTCCATTACCACCCCCCTCCAACTGCAAAAAATACTTGGCCAAGACCCTGCTAAAAATGAGTCGTGAGGCTCTCTGTGGCTTTCCTGGGTAAACAAATGCAATATTAACAAACAAACAAAATCTGAGGTTTTCTTGGCATTTGGAATCGATTCGGGGAAAACTCATTGAGAAAGTAGGTTACGTTGGAATTTTTTTTCATATATTGGGCAGAATAGGTTAAATAGGTAATATTTAAAAAAAAAACTTTTTTTAAACACGCTTTAATTAAATGTACCGTACTAGTAATGGAAGAACTCCACGACTACAGGAAGTGGCCCGAAGCTTGCCATAACGTAAGGGGCTGTGGTCAATTACAGCCAACGTCAGTTGAGCGTGAACAATTAGACCCAAGCGGAAACATAACATATAATAAATAAAGTTGAATTTTTTTTGATGATAGAATATAGTATTGTCATCAGTATGACATAAGTATACCAAGTTTGCAGTCGATGCCACATTGGGAAGTGGGTAAAAATTTAGTTACAAGATTTGAGGATACAACAACAACAGACAGAGTGAGTGAAATAAAAGCGTGTAATAAAAAAGGTGCAATATGGGGCACCTGTTTTGCATAGAGACAGCGCGAACCATGCCTCCTCGACCCCCCTTGCTCTCCCCCAGCCTGAACTGATCTGTGTCCCTGCAGCCACACCGAGCAAAGTCACAAACTTTATGCAAATTACCGGGGTCAGTGATGTGCCGACGTTGTGACGTACGGTGATGGATGTCGTGATGATGCTGACATCGGTAGTAAATGCGTCTTAAGTACCATTGGACCTGTGGTGCACAATGGTTGCAAGTCCACAGTCACTCGTAATAAAAAAAAAACCTGTGGGAACTGTTGCACAATGCAAATGTGTCATTACTCAGCGGTTGCTATTCAGCAGCAGCAATCTCAAGTCACTTTATTACCCCTAAGACTCTTCACCGTTTGAAAGGAAACGTTAAACTTGTATTATCAAGTGGCCATGCACTATTCATTTGTAACATTTATTTTTTTGTGGCTGTGCGCGCGTCTGTGTCTGTGAGAGCGGTGGTGTAGCGTTTCGATTCCCGCTCACGGCTAACACTAGTGACGATTATCTGAGCCGGTACTGGGCCTCCCCTAGGTCGACTCAGCCTCAAATTAGTGCCTGGTGCGGTGTGTAAGCATCCCCACTAGGGAGACAAAGGCGGTCAGGCGTGGTGTTGGCCACTCATCCCCTCGGTGTTTGCCAAGATCACTTACCCCAACAAATATGTTAAGGGCTCGTTGTTGTGGCCGATGATTATCCACCCTCCGTTATCATCTCTCTCAATTCAACAATTGGTATCTGGATCTGTCCCGTCACCTCCAGCCAGCGAGTCTTCGATATTTCAATTAGCCTCAAAGTGCACCTAGCCTGGCACAAGTTTTGTGGTTACGTTGCCGTCACTTAGTGGCAAATGGTGGTTGCTGCTGTTGTTGTTGTTGTGCTTTGCGAATCTGGAAAGTATGAATCCTGGCTTAGGCTCATGTCAGTAAAAAGTGGTAATGAAACACTAACCTAGGCTTCCGTCTGGTTTACTGGGCCTTAAATGAGTACTCAATGCAGTGGACAAAGATAAAAGTGTTCGGGAATGGTGCTAAGCCACACCAGTGCTTTGTAGACGGTGCTTTCCTTAATAGGTGCTCACGAACAGCACTTACAGAAGAGTCAATGGAGGCTACACGGATCATCGTTGTCTTTGCACGTGAATCAAAGTATGGAATGTTGTCATTCTAACTGAAGCAGTGTCAACTAAATACGAAAGGACACCACCATACGGTCGTATTATTTTACTGAAGATAAATGTTTAGATTTTAAACAGTGTGGACGTCTGCTCACGAAGGCAATGTAAAGTCTATTTGACAGAAATTTTTATTTCATTTTACTTTTTAATGTTTTTACCTACGTGACTTTACCGAAAAAACCTAAGAAAATGAATACTTGCAGTCACGAAAGCTTCAAATCTAGAATAAGAATTTGAC